TTTGTAAATATACTAAATGCACTGAATCGATAACTTAAAATAATTATGTTAGCTTTAGCAGAATTTTTAAAAAATCAGTTGGGAATGTTTGTGTGGCTCTATTTCTGGGTTCTCTATTCTCCTCCATTGATCTCTGTGTCAACCCCTCGCCAGTGCCACGTAGTCTTGATTACTGTAGCTATATAATAAGTCTTGAAATCAGGCAGATTGATTCCTCTCCATTTATTTTTGTTTTTCAAAATGGTTTTAGCAGGCAACCCCTTCGGTTTCCCTCCCACTGTGGGAGCTTTTCTGTTCTCTCAATAAATACTGCTTTCACACACACACACACACACACACACACCCTGCTTTCAAAAAAAAATTGTTTTAGCTATATTAGTTCCTTTATGTTCCCATAAATTTTAGCATTATCTTGTGTGTATTTATCAAGCTTATGTACTAAGCTTTTCATAGGGATTACATTAAATCTATATATCAATTTAAGGGAAATTGACATCTTTACTGTGCTGAGTCTTCTAACCCATGAACATATGTTTCTCCATTTCTTTAGATCTTGATTTTTTAGGACCAGCACTTTACAGTTTTCAGTGTACAAGTCCTATATGTGGTTTGTTAGATATTTTCACTGGGTATAGGATTCTGGATTGACAGTTGTTTTCTCTCAGCACTTGAAAAATAATGTGCTGCTGTCTTCTAACTTCCTTCTAGTTAGCATGTTGCTGATGAAAAATATGCTGATACAGATTGAGTATCTCTGAACTGAAATGCATGGGACTGGAAGTGTTTCAGATTTCAGAATTTTCAGATTTTGTAATATTTGCATATACATAATGAGATAACTTGGTGATGGGCCTTATGTGTAAGCATGAAATTCACTTACGTTTCATATACACCTTATACACATAGCCTGAGATAATTTTATTTTTGTCTTGGGGACACTGAATAAACTGTGTGTGATGTGCCTGCGTTTTGACTGCAACATGTTGCATGACATCAAGTGTGGAATTTTCGACTTCTGTTATGTGGCGCTTGAAAAGTTTCAGATTTTGGAGCATTTTGTATTTGGATTTTTTTAATTAGGCGTACTTAACCTGCATTCTAATTGATTTTCTCCCATAGGCAAGGTGTAATTTCTCTGACTGCTTTTAAGACTTTTCCCTCATATTCAGTTTTCAGAATTTTAATTATGATGTGTCTTAGCATGGATTTCTTTCTGTTTATCCTGTTTGGGTTATGCTCAGCTTCTTGAATTTATAGGTTTATGTTTTTTGGAAATTTGATATAGTTCCCGTCATTATTTCTTTGAGTGCCTTTTTTCCCTGAGATTTTCTGTTTCTTTATTTATCTCAAGCATGTTGATCATTGCTCATGGCAGCATTTTTATTATGTCTGCTTTAAAATCTTTGTCAACCACCTTGTTGTTGGCATTAGTGAGTTTTTGTTTTGTTTTTTTTTTTGAGTTGGAGTCTCACTCCGTCGCCCAGACTGGAGTGCAGTGGCCGCTTCCGGCCACCGCAGTCTCGACCTGCGGGGCTCCGGCGATCCTTCCACCTCAACCTTCCAAGTAGCCGGAATTACAGGCATTCGCTACCATGCCCGGCTGATTTTTTGATTTATTGTAGAGATGAGGTCTCACTGCCCAGGCTAGACCCGCGGGCTCAGGCAGTTCCCTCACCTCAGCCTCCCAAAGGCGCGGGATTACAGGCTGAGCCACCGAGCCCGGCTAGTGAGTATCTTTTTTTCATTTAGTTTGAGATCTTCCTGGTTTATGGTATGATGAGTGATACATTGAAACTAGGTCATTTTTGTATCATGTTATGAAACTCTAGGTCTTATTTGCCCACTTCCATTTTACCTAGCTTTTATTGACACCATTCTGGCAGGGGAAGTGAGAATGCCACCTTGTTACTGCCTGGAGGAAGTAGAAGTCCAGGATTCCCACTCAGCCTCCACTGACCCCTGAAGTGGGGGAGCTTCTCATTACTACTGGGCCAGGGTAGGAGTTTGGCTTCATGTATTTTGGAGTTTCATTGTTAGAGTGTGAATTAGTTTCCTTGGCGACCACAACAGATTACTATAAACTGTTAAAACAATAGAAATTTATTATCTCACAGGCCAGGCGGCCAGAACTTGAAAATCAGTATTTTAGCAAGGTTGCTGCCTTCGAAAGGCTCTGAGGCAGAAACCATCCCATCTCCTAGTTCCCAGTATTTCCAGCAATCCTTGGTATTCCTTGGCTTTCAGACACATCAGTTCAGTTCCTCGCCATCTTCATATTTCCTTTCTCTCTGTGTTTTTATATTGTCTTTTAGTAAAGGATACCAGTCACTGGATTTGGAACCCACCCTAATCCAGTGTGATCTTATCTTAACTAATTACATCTGCAAAGACTATTTCCAAATATAGTCAAATTCGGAGTTTCTGGGTTGTCATGAATTTTGAGGAGACATTAATACCTAATACAAGGCATGTGTGTTCATATATCTTCTTGATAGTTTCACCCCCTTATTATTATATATGTCTTTTTTGTCTCTAACAATTTTTTAAGTCAACTTTGTCTTATGTCAGTATAGTCACTCCGCTCTCTTTGGGTTACTGTTTGCATGGTACATTTTTTTCCATCCCTTTACTCTGTTAAAAGAAAACCCTTAGACAAATTTAACAGAGTTTAATTGAGCAAAGAATGATTCCTGAATTGAATAGCCCCGGTACCAGAAAAGGTTCCGACAGGCTCCAGCACAGCCACACGGCAGAAGGTTTATGGACAGAAAAAGGAAAGTGACGGACAGAAAATGGAAGTGAAGGACGGACACAGCTAATTTGGTGGCAGCTTGGTTTCTGCCTTATTTGAATCAGATGTCAACAGTTGGTTGCCTTTGGCCAAAATGATCTGTTTATACATCCGGTTAGGTTACAGTTCACTGTGTACAGAAACATTTAAAATTATATGAAGAGGCAACTTTAGACTAAACTTAATTTAACAATTTTCAGCTATTTGTTTCTTTAAATCTAAAGTATATCTCTTATGGAAACTATATTGTTGAGTCACTGTGTGTATGTGTGTGTGTGTGTGTGTATGTGTGTGTGTGCGTGTGTGCATTCTGCCAATCTTTACCTTTTAATTGTCACTTAATTCATTAATGAAAATTTATTCATTTTCATTTAACGTAATTGTTGATAAGGAAGATTTGTATCTGACATTTTGCTATTTTTTGTGTCTCGTTTTTATTCCTCTCTTATTTCATTACTGCCTTCTTTGGCATTAAATATTTTCTAGTATACCATTTTAATTCTCAGTTGTTTCTTTTATCATATTTTTGAGTGGTATTTTTAGTGGTTGTCTTGCAGAGTCTAGTTAACATCTTAACTCATAATATTCAAGTTCAGATGGGGCATGGTGGCTTACATCTTATAATCCCAGCACTTCGGGAGGCCAAGGTAGGAGTATTGTTTGAGCCCGGGAGTTCAAGACCAGCCTAGACAACATAGCAAGACTTCATCTCAAAAAAAAAAAAAAAAAAAAAACTTAGCCAAGCATGGTGGCACGCACCTATAGCCCCAGTTACTTAGGGGATGGGGGCTGAAACAGAAGAATCACCTGAGCCCAGGAGGTTGAAGCTATGGTGAGCTCCGATCAAGCCACTGCACTCCAGTCTGGGTGTCAGAATGAGACCCGACACAAAAAATAAGATAAAATAATCAAGTTCAGATTAATTCCAACTTAATTTCAAAAACATTAAAAAACTATACTTCATTCCCTACCCCCTCACTTGTGTTGTTTTTGCCATACAAAAAAACTTTACACCTTGTGCACCCTTAAAAGTGGATTGATAATTATTGCTTTATGCAATAATTGTCTTTTAGATCACACAGAATAGGCCAGACATGGTGGCTCAGCCTATAATCCCAGCACTTTGGGAGGCCAAGACTAGTGAATTGCCTGAGCCCGCGGGTATGAGACCAGCCTGGACAACTTGGTGAGACCTCGTCTCTACAATAAATCAAAAAATTAGCCAGGTGTAGTAGCACATGCCTGTAGTTCCAGCTACTTAGAAGGCTGAGGTGGAAGGATTGCCAGAGACCAGCAGGTCGATGCTGGGGTGACTGTGAGCGTGCTACTGCATTCCAGCCTGGGCAACAAAGACTCCAACTCAAAAATAAATAAACAAATAAAATAAAATAAATCAGGATGAAAAGGAATTACAAAGCATACTCTGCCTTTATATTTACCTTTATAGTTACCTTTATTGGTGTCCTTGTTTTTTTTTTCATAGATTCAATTACTGTCGTGTCCATAGGATCCATTTAGTAATTATTTGCTTGTGATGAACTCTCTCAGTTATTTATCTGCATATACATAATAAGATAGCAAGGGCAAGAATAAACTTCAAGTTGGTTAAATGAGGAGCTTAGAAACATGGATAGAATATCCATATGAGGAATCTCGTCCATATTTATGTGTGAAATTTTGGAATGGTGAATATCTATCACCCTAAAAGAAGAGAATTAGGGTCATTGGTGAGAAAAGCAAAGAACAATTTAAGTGCCACAAGAGCAGTACTTTTTTCTGTCTTATTCCCTGATATAGTCCTAGTGCCCAGAATACGACCTGGCACATGGTAGATGACTATATGAATAATGAATCCTAGAGAACAGTGCTAGTGGGAGATTGAAAAAAATTGACCTCCAAGGCTAACCTGTGATGTTCATTAATCCTGTGACAGGATGATACACTTGTAGATTAATAACACAATTTTTAATATGTACCATTCTATCCAATGTTTACTATGTTAGGGGGTTTCATTTTATTTTGAGTCTTCCATGACCCACAAGCTCTTGGAGATATTATTGTATAATTTATTTTATTAAATATTTGTTTCTCACTTTGCAAGTCTCAGTGTGTGACTCCATTTTAAGGAAAAACAACATAAATAGTTCTTTATTACTGTTGTCTAATTAACATCTGTTTATTATCAGTTTACTGTTGATTTTCATGACAGAATAGCCGCTTAAAAGAGGAACAGATTTGGCACATACGGCACCTGCTAAAGGAACTAAGTGAAGAGAAGGCAGAGGGATTACCAGTTGTAACAAGGGAGGATGTTGAGGAAGAAATGAAGGAGAAATGGAAGTTTGAAAGAGACCAGGAAAAAAACTTGAGAGGTGATTTAGGAACTTACAAAACTATCATCAGTTTATTTCTTGAATGTTTTGATGCTTTTGTCTTCCAATATGTTCAAAATGCTGTAAACGTATTCCAGATGACATAATTACCATCACGACCACAGACACATGTAAGTAAATGGACAGGAGGGGGACATAACAAAGTGGGCAGAGGTGACAAAGCAAAGGGAGGAGGAAGAATAAGGGCAAAGATCAAAAACAGGCAGACTGGGAACAGGGGACAGTATTCTGTTAGATTCTGTTTCTCATGGTGGGTTTTTGTTTTGTTTTGTTTTGTTTTTTGTGAAATTCCACTGAATGGTGACTTCAGCGTCAGTTTAGATCTGAAAATGATAAGGTAAATAGAACCATGAAACATTACCCCCTGCAATGTCTCTAAGGGAGCCAGTGAGATGGGAGAACTAGAAAAGTCTGGAGGACATGAATAGAATTGATGTTTGGTATGGGTGACCAAGGACACATTCTTACTGAAGACTTAGGAAATACCGTGGTGTTGAGAGTAAGTCATGCAAGTTTTGACATTTGCAGTTTTTATTCCTATTCCTTCATCCTAAACCTGCTGCTAAGATTTCTAAAACCACTTTTGCCAGAACCTCTATAAATTCCAATTCTGCTAGGAAACTGGAAAACATGGGAAAGACACCTGAGTGCTATCAGCAAGCAGTACCAGAAGCTAGGAGGCACAAAATAAGGGACTAGACTAGATTTCTCCAAGTATTTCAGAGCACCTTAAAAGAGGAACAGATTTGGCACCTGGCACAAGGGCAGGCTGTTCACTCATTAGGTATTTGTTGTTTTGAGTGAAATAGTTTCCAAGACCAAACATCAATAGGATAGCTTCATTTTTTTTTTTTTTTTTTTTTTTTTTTTTATTTGGAGTCTCACTCCTTCGCCCAGGCTAGAGTGCCGTGGCATGCTCACAGCCATCCCGGCGTCAACCTGCTGGGCTCAGGAGATCCTTCCACCTCAGCCTTCCAAGTAACCAGAACTACAGGCGCGAGCCGCCACGCCTGGCTAATTTTTTATTTTATTGTAGAGATGAGGTCTCGCTAAGTTGCCCAGGCTGGTCTCAAACCCACAGGTTCAGGCAATCCACTTGAGTCGGCCTCTCAAAGTGCTGGGATTATAGGCTGAGTCACCGAGCCCGGCCCATTTTTAGAGTTGTCCAAAACTGTGCCCATAAACCTCCTCAAGTCTCTTTATTAGCATTCGTGATGCCATGAGTTGGTAGATAGCGTACTTTGCAGACTTCTTTCCTAGAGAGTGGGAATGCTCACTAAACTGCCTTTGAAGGGAATGGGCCCAGTTAGTTTAGGTATGCCTGTTTATGGTTTGGGCTAGCACAGGGATGTGTGCATCACACAAGACGGGAGCCATGTTGCATGGCTGACACGGCAGAGGTTGAGCATGCATGGTAGTCCAAGGAAGAAAGAAACCCAAGACTCAGAGGAAGAAGGAAAGTGAAAGAACAGAAGTGTCTGGAAAGAATTTCTGAGGTAGGTAGTTCAGTACCAAGTGGTCCCTGGCAACTCACTTTGGTGTGGAGCAGCTGCAGGTGCTTCACCTGGCAGCTTGTTACAGTGAAGACTCTCAGGCCCCATGGGAACTGCTAACTCAGAATCTGCATTCTGACATCCTAGGGATTCCTGTGCATAGCAAGTTTGGAGAAATTTTGCTCTTATCCTTTTCTTCCAACTTTTAGTTAGGACTCTTTCAGTAGCAAGGATAAAAATCTAACTCAAACTAGCCTAAGCATAAAGGGGATGTTAATTTTTTCGTATGAGCAAATCTCAGAAAGGGAAGGGTACTGGTGACAGGGATCCAGGGCCTCACATGCTATCAGATCTCAGTCTTAAAAAAAAAAAAAATTTGGGGTCAGGCTCGGTGGCTCAGCCTATAATCCCAGCACTTTGGGAGGCCGAGGCAAGTGGATTGCCTGAGCCCGCAGGTTCAAGACCAACCGGGGCAACTTGATGAAACCTCGTCTCTACAATAAAATAAGATAAAAAATTGGCCGGGCGTTGGTAGCGCGCGTCTGTAGTTCCGGCTACTTGGAAGGCTGAGGAGGAAGGATTGTGGGAGCCCAGCACATCGACGCTGGGGTGCCCGTGAGCGTGCCACTGCACTCCAGCCTGGGCGGCAGAGTGGGACTCTAACTCAAAAAAAAAAATCTGTATGTATGTGAGTGTATGTGACTAGAAGGGAAGGGAGAGGGGTGCTAAGAAAGTAGAAAAACAGCCACTGCATCCACCTTTTTTTTTTTAGTTGGAATCTCACTCCATCGCCCAAGCTGGAGTGCAGTGGCACACTCACGGCCACCCCAGCGTCTACCTGCTGGGCTCCCACGATCCTTCCTCCTCAGCCTTCCAAGTAGCCAGAATTACAGGGGCATGCTACCACGCCTGGCAAAAAAGTTTTTTTTTTAATGGTAAAGACAAGGTCTTGTCAATTTGCTTGGGCTGGTCTCGAACCCATGGACTCGGGCAATCCACTCGCCTCGGCCTCCCAAAGTACAGGGGTTAGCAGCCCAACCATCTTTTAAAATCTTCAGTGACATCTACCAGCCCCCACACCCAAGGCTGAACATGGCACAGGAACAGTTGGCTCAAGTGAGAGGACACCACCCATTTGGAGTATAGCAGTTCTGATAATAAAAGCACATTGATAAAGATATGTAAAAACATGTGCATCTTTTGGACCTCTAAACTGAAAAACTTCCCTCTGGCCTTATTAGAATGCATCAGTCATTCCATAAACATTTATTGAGCACCAGGCTTAATTGCCAGGCTCTGTGCTAAGTGCTGGATTTGCAGATGAATATGTGGTCTTGCCCTCAGGAACTCTCAAACCAGATGATGAGACAAACAACCAGTAAGTTGACTGTACTTGGTTTTTTTGAAAAAGCTTCCTTTTTGAAAATATTCAGCAACATGATACTTGGGCCTAATACTTTCACACAAGAGAAGGTCAATCAAATGAACTTTAGATGAGTGAATTAATTTACTTACAAAAATGATTGCCAAGGACCTGGGAGGGAGAGATGTTCAGAGGCATAAGTAAGAAAAGTGACAATGTACTAATAAAGAGTACATATAATATGAGATGTTGTAAAAAATAGGACCCTTATTAAGCTACAGCAGAAATAATAAATAAGAATAATAAATTTGTGGCTTTCTCAGTATATGTGTTAATTGCCTATTATATCTTCCAATCAAGCCTCAAAACACACATTTACTTTATAATTGGAAATTTAATTTTACTTGGATTTTGAATCATAAGGGATAAACAATAGTTTGAATAGTTTTAATTTCCCTAAATTATAAGTATAAAATAGTGTTTATAAGTTAACAACATTTTAATATCAGATCTTAACTTTATAAAACCAGATTGTAACATTGGTTGCAAGAACAATAGAAATGACATGGTGTCTTGATTTTATTTTCAATAGACATGCGGATGCAAATAAATAATGCTGAAAAACTATTTCTTGAGAAACTCAGCGAAAAGGAATATTGGGAAGAGTACAAGAATGTAGGGAGTGAACAGCATGCTAAACTCATTACCTCCTTACAAAATGACATCAATAAAGTTAAAGAGAATTCAGAGAAAATGTCAGGTCAGTTGCAAGAAAGCTAGTTCAAGTTTCGTTTTAAACATCTTTAAAGGGTTTTCACTGGTGGAAGAAAAAAGTTGGTCCTCCCTGAATCATTCAACACTTTCTGCTGTCAGGACAAGGAACAGTGAGAGTGAGTGGAAGGATAAAGGTGGAGGGAGGAAGCAGAACAATGACCCTAGGACTACCTTCGAAACTGAGAAGAGGGAATAAAGAGACCGGTATAGAGGAGAAATCCTGCAACCCGCCCCTTCAAGAAAGAAGCTTCATTTAGTGGGTGATGTCTGGATGTCTGCATAACTGGGCCTGGGACAGTTCCACGGAGAAAGGAGGGTGCTGGGGCCAGGTTATGTTAGAAAGAGAATTCACCTGAGGCAAGCTAAGGGAACTTAGCCAGACGAAATAAGCAGAAACATTATAGAGAAATGTCCAAGTAAATTAAGCTGTAGTCAGAAAAAAAAAAACAGAACAGACATGAGATGGGAAGTAGAGAGTTATAGAGCAGATGGCGTCAGGAGCAATCTGGACACGAGGAGATCAGCTGTGTGTCACTGGGCGACAAAGGTGAGCACAGTGGCTTAAAAGAATGCCAGAGATCCAGGGAAAGGAAAGAAAGAATAAATGGGGGAGTCTGGCCCAGTAGAGCACTGTGAGTGGGTGACAGTCCAGAACCCAGCTAGAAATGGTGCCCTGCATTGTGGAGAGCTTCCTGTGCATGGCCCCCACAATCCCCTGCTGGGCCCTGTTGGACGTTCTGCTTCTGGACCAATTTGTATGTGAGTTCCTCAGCTCAGGGTCTGTGTACCACAATGGTAGTATAAATTTGACCCCATATCAGTTCTGGGCTTGATAATGTCAGCCTCCTATCCCCATTTGTCCCCCAGCCACTCAGATCCTATCCCTGGAGAAAACCTCTGTTTCTTGTATAGCTATCAGAAATATTCTAGGCATATATCAGTATATACATATATATCACAAATAGCATGCTACAGATACAATTTTTCAACTTTTTCATGTAACAATACGAACATCCTTATAAATCAGTACACATTAATACTACCTCATTCTTCCAGCAGCCACATTGTCTTATTGTATCATAATTTTTTTAACCAGTCCCTTACTCATAAGCATTTAGACTATTTTCAGTCTTTCACTATTACAAATAATGCTGCAATGAATATCCTTACACATATCTCATTTTACTGCAACAATAACCTTGTGTTTATGTCATTTTCTTCATATTTATCTCTGAAGAGTAGTGGTTGGCTCAAACAGCCTGTTTAATTTTATTTTGATAAATGTGGCCCTCCATAAAGGTTATACTGAGTTGTATCTCTACCAGGTACATCAGGATACTATTTTCTTTCCTATGTCAATGGTGGGACTTGTTATTCATCTTTTTGTTCTGTCAGTCTTATAGGTAGAAAATGGTATCTCATTGTAGTTTTAATTTTCATTTGATTTATTAAACGTGGCATTAAATGTGTCTTTTTACAACTTCAAGGACTTAGGAACTAGGTACAGTGGTGTACACCTTGTAATCCAGCTATTCAGGTGGCTGAGGTGGGAGGATCAGTTGAGGCCAGGAGTTCCAGACCAGCCAGATCCAGTTCTCCACCCATGCCCCCCACAAAGAAAAGCCACATGAATTTTCTTCTCTGTGAACTATTTATTTACATCCTTTGCCCAATCTCCTGTTGTGTTCTGGCACTCTACATTTTAAGGAGATTAGCTCTTTAACTGTTTGTAATATGTTACACATTTTTTCCCCATTTGTCATTAGTCTATTGTTTGTGTTTTTTTTTTTAATGAGAAAATGTTACACTTATGCAAATAATTCACAGAAGTTAGATTGGAAAATATAGTTATTTAGAAAGTAAGTTAGAAAGAAAGAGAGCAAGAGAGGAGATTCACCTTTTCAAGGTAGGAGAGGAAATCCCAGCTTAGAAAACAGGGCAGCGACCATAGCTCAAAAAGCACACAGTCACTCCAGAGTTTAGTAAAGCAATGGCGCCTGACTGCTCATGGTTGAAGGCTTGTAAACATTCCTCTTGTTGGGGGCAGGTTGTTAAGGTGGTTGGGTCACCTCCATGTCATCACAGAGGACAGGTATGCACAGGTACTGATGTCAAGTGATGGACAGCAGACAGATGGATGGGTTAGTCACATGATTGCTGCCATGGTGACGGGGTCTGTCTGTGTCATGAAGGTCAAGAAGGGCTGATTAAGTTAACCTGGGTCTTATGGGTGGAGGTAAATAATTGAAATAGAAAAGCTAATCAGTACAAAACAAGCTGGGGAGGAGGTTATAAAACAATTATCAATAGCTACCTCTGAGAAACCATTTCTGTCCTTGGCTAGTGATTAGAGGATAAAGTGAACTGCTAGAAAAACATGAGATTTAGACAATGCTAAAATGGCTGCTTTTAGTTATAATAAATACATGTTTGTCCTTTCACCAATTTATAGTCTTTGATTTTATGTTTATGAGATTATTAATAAATTCTCCGATATTTTTTTCTAGAATTTGTATGGCTGTTTTTATATTTAAGACTTTGTGTTTGTGTGAGGAAAAAAATCCAACTTTACTTTTTCACCAGCTGGTTTTCCATTTGTCCCAACCTCATTTATCAAACACTCCATTTTTACCCTACTTATTTTTTACCCACTTATTTTACTTATTTTTACCTTACTTAAAAAGTAGGGTAAAAATATAGTCGAAGTGCTAACTTTTTTTATACTTTAATTTCCCATATATATCTAGGTCTCTTTCTGTGCTTTACATTCTGTTCCATTGATCTGGCTATGTATTTGTGCACCAGTATGATACTTTTTAAAAAGTTATTGTTCTAGGCTGGGCTAGGCTTGGTATAATCCCAGGGCTTTGAGAGGCTGAGGCAAGAAGATCGCTTGAGGCCAAGAGTTTGAGACCAGCCTGGGCAATATAGTGAGACCATTTTGCTACAAAACATACAAAAATAAGCCAAGCATAATGGTGCAAAAAGTTATATTGGTCTAATTTTTTCATATTTTTATTTTAGAGACAAGTTCTCACACTATCATCCAAGAAGTGCAGTGGCCCAGTCATAGCTCCCTGCAGCCTTGAGCTCTTAGGCTTAAGTGACCCTCCTGCCTCAGCTTCCTGAGTAGGTGGGACTACAGGGGCATGCCACCATGACCCCATTCCCCTATGCCTGACTTTTTTTTAAAGAGAGTTCTGCTCTATTGCCCAGGCTGCTCTTGAACTTCTGTCCTCAAGTGATCCTCTCACCTCAGCCTCCCAAAGTACTGGCATTACAGGTATGAGCCACCATGCTCAGCCTGGTGTGTTGTTTAGAACATGAGCTTGAGACAGTATAAGAGCTTCCTTACTCTTTTCCAGTTGCCTTCCTTTCTTCATCCCTGAGACAAAAGGCATGAAAACTCAAGGCAGAGGAATAAGCAGTAGGCCCAAGTTAGAAAAAAGGGACTAGCCATAACTTTGAATGAAACTTAAATTTTAATTATTGCAATAGACTGAACATATTAATTTTCTATTGGAGGAAATGTTATTACCACTAAGGAAACAGAAAAGTCACAGGATTTGCCATATGTTTTTACTGAGTGGAGGTCACTAGCCTCACAATAGGAATTTTAAAGGTAAGAGACAAAAATAAAGTTGTTTGACCTTCCCAAGGTCATGCTTGTTGGGAGTTACATATTGTGAGAAATGGGAGAACTGTAGCTGATGCCAGGTGGCATGGGATGTAGTTGCTCTTTGGGTTCTTTGACTTTACTACAGAAAAGAATTTTAGAGTGAGACACAGAGAAAGGTTTTATTTACTTATTTATTTAGAGTCATAGTTTCACTCTCTTGGGTTGTTTGACTCTACCACAGAAAAGTATTTCTTTTTTTTTTTTTTTTTTTTTTTGAGTGGAATCTCACTCTGTCACCCAGACTGGAGTGCAGTGGCCGCTCCTGGCCACCACAGCCTCGCCTGCTGGGCTCCGGCGATCCTTCTGCCTCAGCCTTCCGAGTAGCCGGAATTACAGGCATGTGCTACCATGCCCGGCTGATTTTTTTATTTATTGTAAAAGATGAGGTCTCGCTGCCCAGGCGGGTCTCGAACCCGCGGGCTCAGGCAATCCCCTCACCTCAGCCTCCCAAAGGCGCAGGATTACAGACTGAGCCACTGAGCCCGGCTCAGAAAAGTATTTCAGAGTGAGATACAGAGAGAGGTTTTATTTATTTATTTATTTATTTATTTTTTCATAGTCAGAGTCTCACTCTGTTGCCCAGACTAGAGTGCAATGGCATGTAGTTGCTCTTTGGGTTCTTTGACTCTACCACAGAAAAGAATTTCAGAGTGAGACACAGAGAGAGGTTTCACTTATTTATTTATTTATTTAGAGTCAGAGTCTCACTCTGTTGCCCAGGCTGGAATGCAGTGACATGCTCATGGCCACCCCAGCATCAACCCACTGGACTCTGGCGAACCTTCTGCCTCAGCCTTCCAAGTAGCCAGAACTACAGGCACACGCTACCACAATGGCCAATTTTTTGATCTATTGTAGAGACAAGGTCCCACCATGTTGCCCAGGCTGGTCTCGAACCCTTGGGCTCAGGAATCCTCTTGCCTTGGTCTCTCAAAATACTGGGATTACAGGCTTGAGCCACCTCGCCCAGTCACAGAAAGAGTTTTAAAGTACCAGTCATTAGAGAGAAGAACAAAGAAAAAGACACATTCGAGAGAATACAGGTGTCCTTATGGGAAAGGGCTGTTAGCAGAAAGCTTTATATATCATCCAAAATGATGATTAAGCAACCTATTTCTAAGCTATACTTTGATCACAAGTTTCAATTCTTATCATTTTACTCCTAAGTTTGCTGTGTCACAAGGAGCTTTTGAGATAATAGGAAAAGTACCCAGATGCCTGACCATCTGGTTTCCTGGTTATCTAAGCCTACTTGTAAGAAACTTGCTATCTGTATTTAAACTATGGTAGCTGTCCTGTCTCAAAGACAGAATCAGAAAGTTATCAGACCAGTGGTGGCTCTGGGGATGGCTCCTCCCTGCATGTATGTCTTCTGGTCTGTGACTGCCCCTCTCATCAGCACCTCCGCTTTGTTCTGCGTGCCTGACCCTATTCTCTTCTTGCCTCTCATGGAACAATCCTTGCAGTGTTCTCCTGCCCACATTCTGAAGAGAGCTGGTGTCATCATCTGCCTAATCAAAGATAACCAAAGACCTTTGTCCATGCTTCCTCATGATCAGCCCCAGCACCAGTTGTTCTTTGGTCACTTGCTTTATTCAGCTACCACCCCTAAGCCCTAGGGGGCAGGAGGAGACAGCACATAGAACTGCTTCCCTAAACTTTAGCTGGAAGGATTAGGTATAGAAAACAGTCAGTGGTATATCCAGGCCTAAGCTGTTTCTCCTCAGTAAACAGAAAGGGAACCTTAGGTTAGACCCAGGAATAGAGAAAGCATGAGGCAACTACAAGTCATTAGATAATTACTGTTACAGAACACTTTTTTAAATATCCTTTCACCAGAGGCCCATGTCAGGGATCTTTAAAGTTCTTTGTACACTAACAGCAAGTTAAAGAAATTGGGTTCAAGTCTACTTACAAAAAAAGAAACATTACTTTTTTGAATGTTAATTTCTTTTTCTATAAAATGAGAGTCCTTAGGTCATCTCCAAGAGAACTCGCATTCTCAGCATCTGCTTTTTAATGTCTTACCTTATTTAATCCTTAAAAGTTTCTTTGAGTTAGATATAATTATGCCCAATTTACAGATAAGAAAACAGAGGCCCAGAGAAGTCAGTTACCATAACCACATTCACAGACTTAGTAAGTAGTAGAATAGGGATTTGAACTTAGTTGTGTTGGGCTCCAAGCCCATAGGTTTCAAATAGTCCTCCCAGCCCTGATTCAGTGAGTTAAAATGGCTATGAAGAGATTGCTACCTGGCCATTATTTCCACTGGTCCCTTCTTGATTTCCTCCAGAGGGGTCTGAAAAGGAGGCCACCACCACAGGAAAGGATCAGCACAATGGAGCTGTGTAACACCTGGAAGTGGGAGAGGAGTGAATAACAACTCCCAAGAGCTGGTAGGGGATAAACCAAAGCAGAGCCAGACAACAGGGAAGGCGGGACAATGCAAAGTAAGCCGTCACCAACATGGCTTGAGTCAGCTTCCAGACTTTTACATTCCCCCTTTTTATTTTACTATATTCACAAATGAATGGTTAATAGTTGTTACCAGAAGCATCATCTGAATCTGAATCACAAGAGATAACAATGAGATTTTTCATACTCATCTTGTGCTAGTCACTGCTTTTTTTTTTGAGTTGGAGTCTCACTCTGTCACCCAAGCTGGAGTGCAGTGGTACACTCACGACCATCCCAGCGTTGACCTGCTAGACTCAGGTGATCCTTCTGCCTCAGTCTTCCAAGTAGCTGGAATTACAGGCATGCACTACCATGTCTGGCTGATTTCTGATTTATTGTAGGGATGAGTTCTCACCAAATTGCCCGGACTGGTCTCGAATCTGCAGGCTCAGGCAATCCACTTGCCTCAGCCTCCCAAAGTGCTGGGATTATAGGCTGAGCCACCAAACCCGGCCTGCTCTGCTTTTATGAGGAAAAATAGCCCCCAGAATTTGATATAGGATTTGGAACAGAGTCAAACGTTAACATTGCCTCTTTGGTATTAATTTGGCAATAGAGAGAGCTACAGCTTTAGTCAGAGCATATTTGGTAATCTATTTTTTATGATTCACAGTAAAGAATTGATATTTAAAGTTATCAAGCTCCAGGTTTTATGGTTTCCTTCAAATGCTAAGAATGTAAAATTCCTTATAGCTAAACTCCTGATTCATTGCAACTTTTAGATTGATTGTTGAGTTTGGGTGGGTAGAAGTTTCAACCAAATAACTAGCATTATGGGCTAGGTCCTGAATTGAAAAAGAAATTTCATCAGAAATGAGCTTGGAAGGATTAAAATATTCAGGAGATTACTTCAAATGAGAGTAAGAAAAATACAGGTTATATGACTGAGAATAGCAGGTTAGACTAATAGAGACTTCCATTTCTTATTCTTCAAATGTCAAACTAGACTTGCTCCCAGAACCTAGTGAGTGCTTGTCATGGACCACTGCCTCCAACGTTCCTGCCCAACTCAAGTAGAGGCAGAAATTTACCCCTTTTTCTGGTCACTCCACAGCTTGGGAGAACTCTCTCCTTTTCTCTCCTTACTCCCTCTTTCCCTCCCCACCAAATGTGCCAGTGAAGATCCATCATTTGCTGGTTGCTACCCTGGGGCTGAAGCCTCAAATCACTGTCCACCAAAGACATCAGTTTGCCTAATTTAATTTTCTTCAAAATATTTTTCAATATCTATTGTGTCCCAGGGATACAGTAATACAGAAAGATCTGGAAGAGAAGCTTTTACTTTCTGCTCTCAGAGTTTTCATCTAACAGTGGAAACCGCTGTGCCAGGACAAAGTGGATGAGGGCTAAATAACTTTTGCCTAGCTCTCTGGCCCCCTTGTTCCAGTGGTAGCTGCCCTAGTTTGGCTGCCGGTCTGTTTCTTCTGTGAAGAAAATGTTCTCTGAAATAATGTCCCAAATGGAAGTTAGGTTCTACAGCACTCGTGAGTACAACACTATTGTTTAGTTACTCAATAAGTTAAATGACCGCTGTAGACCTGTCCAGAAATCTAGCAACTATGACTTTCAACATCACTTGTATGAAAAAAATACTTTCTGACTTCCAAATAATTGTCCTGAATGTGTTAATTTTTTTAAAAAAAATTTTATTTCTGTGGCTTTAGGGGTATAAATGATTTTTGGTTTACATGGATGCATTGTAGAGTAGCTAAGAAGTCTGGGCTTTAAGTGTACCCTCTACCCCAACCTGTGCACACCATACCCGAGAGGTGACTTTTCATCTCTAACCTTTCTCCTACCCTCCCCAATCTGAGTCTTCAGTATTCATCTTGCCATCCTATATGCCTTTGTAGATTCTTAATTTAGCTCCCATGTGTACAGGAGAATATGTAGCATTTGGTTCTCCATTTCTGAGTTCACTTAGGATGATGGTCTCCAATTCCATCCAAGTTACTGCAGAAGGCATTATTTCATTCATTCCTTTTCATGGTAGATAGTATATATGGTATATGGTATATATCCCACATTACAACTTTGCAATTGTGAAGTATACTGTCCTGCATCTGTCATAAATAAAGCACAACTAATGGGGACATATAATAGATGTCATAATAAACCACAACTACCTTGATTATGCTCAGATTAACTCATTTAGAGTAGTACACTGTTCTCATATTTCACACTGACTGCCATACTCAGTCTCTGCCCTAATGTAACCTCCTCAGAATAGCTTGCTGACATTGCTATATCTAAAATAGAGAATTTTAGTTGTTCTCCATCACATATATCACCACCTGAAATATTATTTATTTATCTGTCTACTTATTTATGATCTGGCCTCCAGGTAATAGAATGTACATGATGCAAGGGGTTTTATCTGTCTCAATCAGCAGTATTCATAGTATGTTCAATATTGCCTAGCATTTAGAAACAGCTTGATAACTACTTGTTGAAAAAAAAGAATGAACAAACTGGACTCATCTTGCTTTCTCTCCATGCTCTAAAGAAGTCTTTCTGTCACAGTGTCTCATTTTCCTTGAATGGAGGTGTTAATTATATGATTTCTAGGCAACTTTCAAGACCTAAAATTTTATGATTTTTTTGTTGTTGTTGTTCTCTCAGTAATGACACTTATAAGAAAATCTACAGAGGTCAGAGAATGCTGCATCTCGTCTCTATCCTCCTTTCTTGCTCTGAGCCTATCTTATAACCAGATCCTTAATTTCCTTAATTTGACCTTCCCAGCCTCCTTACAACCTCCTCACTCTCCTCTTCTCAGTCTATCTTTCCTGCCCTAGGAAACATATGCCAAGAATAGTGAGGGTCTCATTAGATGGAGTCAGATGTGCAGGCTACTACTCAAGCAGACAGTAAAGTCTTTATATTTCTATTGTGGAACCATAAGTCGTGTGATACGAAAGTGTAGACTGCCACACATAATACTAAAGTGTTTCTAAATTCTCCCTTGGGAAAGACAGACCTTTGAAAATACAAACATTCTTAGGAGCGAGATCTTAAACTAATTTACATTAAAGTACTAGTAAATTATTAGAACATTTCTTCTTATTGGAGAAAGTAGATACTTCAGTAAAAATGCACCCTAGAAATACAGTAAAAAAAAAATATGTTGAAAGGAGAGGTACCTGGGATCAGCATTGTTAAGGCTTCTACTTTTCTTTTTAAAGAACAGTATAAAATCACTCTGGAAAATGCTAGAAAGAAAATAATCAGAGAAACTTTGTTGCAACTGGAGCAAAAGAAGGAATGGGCCACAAAGGTATAGTTCAATTTTTTTTTCAAAACAAAATAAAACTGCCCCCCCTCATTTTTTCCTTGGATATATTATAGTGGTTAAAAAGTTGGGTTCTAAAGGTGGGCAGTTTGAATATAAGTTACAGTTCTGTCACTTAATGGCTATATAATGAATTTGTTATCTAACTTTTCTAGGCTTCTGTTTTCTAATCTATAAACTGGAAACAATGATAAAACTTGCCTTAAAGAGATGCTATGAGTATTGAATGAGATGATTTAAGTAGCTTAGTGACTCACCAGGAGCAAGAGCCCAGCGAATTAGTATTCAGTTATTTTGTAAACACAAAGAATACAAGTTGAGTATCTCTTATCTGACACATGTTTTTAATTTGGGATTTTTTTGGATTTTGGAATGTTAGCATTAGACAAGTCGAGCATCCCAAATTTAAAAATCCAAAATTCAAAGTGCTCCAAAATCTGAAAATTTCTGAATGCCAACATGATGCCCAAAGGAAATGCTCATTGTAACATTTCAGATTTCAGATTTTCAGATGCTCAACTTGTAATAATGGTTATAACAAAATGTTGAAATAAAAGTTTTAGATGAATTATACAATGAAATATGATTTGTCTAAAAAATTCCGGCTACTTGGAAGGCTGAGGCAGAAGGATCGCCGGAAACCAGCAGGTCGAGCCTGCGATGGCCGGGAGCGGCCACTGCACTCCAGTCTGGGCGACAGAGGGAGGCTCCAACTAAAAAAAAAAAGTGCTTTCTTATATGTCCAAATCTAAGAGAGTATACTCTACACTGTTGGTACTTTTAAAAAATCTGGGGCCAGATGTGGTGACTCATGCCTATAATCCCAGCACTCCCAGGCCAAAGTGGGAGAATTTGTTGAGGCCAGGAGTTCAAAACCAGCCTGGGCAACATAGCAAGACCCTGTCTCTACTAAAATAAAAATAAATGATTAGATAGGCATGGTGGTACATGCCTGTAGTCCCAGTTACTCAGGAGGCTGAGGCAGGAAGATGGCTTGAGCCCAAGAGGTTGAGGCTACAGTGAGCTGTGATTATGCCACTCTCCTCCAGCTTGGGTGACAGAGCAAGACCCTGCCTGGGGGCAAAAAAGGGGAGGGATATAAAGCATTTTTTTCAGGTATAATGTTCAATTTTGTATGTTTTCTAATTCCTTTGTTTTACACAAACTTCCTGACCTTTTTTTGGACAGTCCTTCTTCTATCACCAAACAACCTTCAAAATCAGTGTTGTCCCCACTGAGATTTTCTATTCATCTGGGAAATTTTTTTCCAAGTCATAAACATCTGATCTTTTTTATTTTAAAGTTCTTTACTGAATTTCAGTTGCTATTGTTCATAGCATCCCTGTTGGTTCAGTTGTGTTTTCAGTATTACTACTTTCTTGTTGCACTATTTTTACTAATTTACACAAATATGGAAGATTAGAGAAGACTGATCAGTGGTTTGTCTGTCCATGCAATTCAGTCACTTTGTGACTGAATCTGACTAGATGGTGAAATCAACCATTAAATGATCCGACCATGATTAAACGTGCATATGTAGATCAAATAAGCATATAACTTCAAGCATATATTATAAGGATTGTTCTAAATGCTCTTCTGAATATTTTATATTTAAGTCTCTCAGCAATCCAGTAAGGTGTAGACACTTGCTAAATGAGGAGACTAAGGCATAGAAACATTTTGTGACTTGTCCAAAGAAAATGGGAGAATCGAGATTCAATTCAGGAGGCTCCTTCAGATCTGCTTGTCATCACTACATTAGACATGTTCTTTTTTCTATATAATGCTGAACACTCAAATGCTTGAATGAACTTTCCTCATTTTATATGGCTATTTTATCAATACAGCTCAACTTCCTATAATCCAGTGCTGTGCAACCACATATGTACATTGGAGTAACCTGAAAAATTGTTTTAACCTGGGTGGTACCTAGACCCCACATGTAGAGAAGCTGATACATTGCCCTGGCATGTTGCCTGGGCTTCTGGATTTTTCAGAGCTTCCAGGAATTCTGATGTGCTGCTAAGTTTGAAACCACTGTTCTATTGTTAGTTAATTAAGCCATTAGCCAACTATCTCCAGTTAGGAGATACTACCTGCTTTCATTCAAATAAAATTCTACATGGAGGATGCTAGGATTATTAGCTTCAGCTGGAGCACAAAAGTTCCTGGTTCCTAAGAAATATAGGTCCACTGTTAATTTAATAAGCGTGATTTACAGAAATTTCGTATTGCAAATCTTTGAACTCTAAAGACTTTAACAGATAAGTTTATCCTTAACATACTTTTAAATTATTTCTGCCCATGTTTATGATCTAGAATATTTTTCTTTATTTCTCTTATTTTCGTTGTGCCTTTTAGTTACTGAATATTGAATTGTAGCATGATATTCATATAAAAGTATATTACAGAGAAATCCCACCATAAACTATTATAAGTGAATCTACATTTTATGAACCTACTGACAAAATGTGGTTTTTTGTTGTTATTGTTTTCTTTGTCTAAAATGCCTTTCTTCAGGAGACTGGCTACAGCCTGCTGCCCTGAAATTGCTTGCTGTTAGGTTTGTAAATATGTATATTATTACTGACATGCAAAAATTTTTCAGATAAAAAATAATGTAATTTGTTCAAGCTTTTGCTAGATGGTGGATTATATGTAACTATAAACTTGAAGAATGATCACTACAGTTTAGCCATCTTAATTATGGAGCAGATCGCTTCATGTTTGATTTTACCATGGCAGTCAGATTCAGTCACAGTGGAGGCCAGTTGAATGGTCGGGCACACATTGTCCAGTTCTCCAAATCACCTGGTTCTTGACTATCCCTTTTGTTAAAGAAAGAACAACTGAACTAAAAGTTCTTTTTTTTTTTTTTTTTTTGAGTTGGAGTCTCACTCTGTCGCCCAGACTGGAGTACAGTGGCCACTGCCGGCCACCGCAGCCTCGACCTGCTGGGCTCCAGCAATCCTTCCGCCTCAGCCTTCCAAGTAGCTGGAACTACAGGCGCACCCTACCACGCCCGGCTAATTTTTTTTTTTTATTGTAGAGATGAAGTCTCGCCAAGTTGCCCAGGCGGGTCTCGAACCCACGGGCTCAGGCAATCCACTCACCTCAGCCTCCCAAGGCGCGGGATTACAGGCTGAGCCACCGAGCCCGGCTATACCAAAAGTTCTTAGGTATGTTCCCAAAAGTAATTGTAAAACATAATTTAAAATGAATGATTAGATAAACTGTGCATCACTATTGCTAAAATTATGAATCACCATGTGGCAACTCTTCCTTAATACAGAAACTTTCTTTTAGAATGCTGTAAAGTTCATTGACAAGAGCAGTTATCGAGAGATCTGGGAGAATGACTGGCTAAAAAAAGAGGCAAGTGGAATTTATCAAAACAATTTCTTCGTTCTCATTTTTTGAACTGGAAACAACTTTTTGTTATGAAGTCATGGGGAAAGCATGGTACTGTGACTGACCAAGATAAAGTGAAATTCAAGTGAAGTCCTAATCTTGTTACAAGATGTTACCCAACAAATATCATAATCTCAACAATAACCAGAAATAATTTTGGGGTTTACCATTTACACAATATACTCAAATGTGCAAAGTTACTTTATGTCCTAAAATGGACTGGATTTTCCTCATGAGCCTACTTTTTCCTGGATTAAAGACAGGGCAAGACTAAAGGGTCATCCAAATCTCATTTTCTGTTGAAATTGCCTCTTTTGAATGACAAGGTCTCCTTTGGATAAGAAGTCCTATAGATATTCTTTCCTCCCCCTGCTCTTCTCTAAGATGAACCCTTGATGAATATAGGGAAGAAGGCTTCTCTTCCATATGGCCCTTTGTGGGTATGTTGTCAAAGAAGGCTCAGATCCATGGGGTTTCCGCTGCTGGATATTTGCTTACTCTGTCCTTCTGCTGTGGACAAAGTGCTTTGGTCTGCTGTCGCACTGGTGATTTCTGAAGTGCTTTGGCCTCTTGGACATCATGTTGCTGCCAACTTCAAACCCACGGTTGTAGCATTTGCCTATGGTCAAATGTCCCTGCCCACTGCAGCCTTTATATCTCACCCCAGCCTGATCCTAAGGCTCTCGTACCTCTGTAAGAGCTCACAGGAACCAGGCGCGGTGGCTCAAGCCTGTAATCCCAGCACTCTGGAAGGCCGAGGTGAGAGGATTGCCTGAGCCCAAGGGTTTGAGAACAGCTTGGGCAACATGGCAAGACCTCATCTCTACAATAAAATTAGTCGGGCATGGTAGCGCACACCTGTAGTTCCGGCTACCTGGAAGGCTGAGGGGGAAGGATGTCAGAGCACAACAGGTGGGCGCTGGGGTGGCCATGAGCATGCCCCTGTACTCCAGCCTGGGCAACGGAGTGAGACTCCAACTCAAAAAAAAAAAAGAGCCCACAGTAACTTCTGGACTCAGGTGTGCTGCCTTAGACTCAGCTGCCCATCTGTCTCCCTATACCAGTGCTGCAGGACAGTTACTGCTCTTGTTGAGTGAGGTCCATGAGGACTTCTAGAGAAGGGTCTCTCAACCTCTGCACTATTGGCATTCTGAGCTGGATAATTCTTTGCTATGAGGCACTGTCCCGTTTTCCTCACATTATATGTGATAGGCCCTCTGCCCTTTCCTCCATTACCTCCTTACCCTCATCTACCTGGAAAATGTCAGCTCTTTTTTCATGCATGGACTTTGACGATCGATTTCCTTGTGTATCATTTTGTAACTCTCCCAGGAAGTCTTGGGTACTCTTTCCCCAGTGTACTCTTGCTTCATTTTAACTCTTGCTAAAATATGGTCAAATGGTCTGTTTATACACCCATCTCCTTAATATACAGAGCAGGTTACTTCTTTTCAACTATATATTCATGGCACTTACTAAATAATCTATACTCATTAAATAGTTATGAAATGAATGAATGTCAATGAATATAGATAAACTCACTGAAGGGATGAATCAAATACATAGCCTAGATCCTGGGTGAAGGAGCTGTAAGGCTAACACCCTGGTGAAATGTGTATGTTGTAATTCAAGAGGGCAGACTGTATCCTATCTTTCCTGAAGGTCTACTGGAATAGAATTATAGAAGTATAAAAGTGAACTCATTCACAAAGAGGATAGGAAGAATTAGCTAACCAGTGAGATTTCAGAAATTTTCAGAAGACAAAAAGCAGATGAAAGAACATGTTTTTGGATGAAACAGGCAGATAATATTTGGTCTAGGCATTATACGAGTGCTGCAGAGGATGTGCAACACTCAGTCCAACACTCAGTCTGTTTTTGAAAATCTAGGAGATTCTCTGCTCAGAGTCTGTGTATGCCATAAATGGGAATCCCATTCCAGTTCTCACTGGAACAGAAAACAAGGGAGTTACTTGATGAAATGAATAAGGAACATCTGTATCAGTTAGCACCCACCATCACCTCTACCATTTCACTTACATACAACAAAAGTACTTTTAGACTGAGAACCTGATGGCTGTCCTGTGAGAACACTGAACAAATTATCTGATAAAGGCTAAAGTTTCTAGTATAGACATTTCTGTGCCCACAGAAAATCCTGTCTCGGCATTTAGGAGCCCACAGCCTAATAGCCCACTCTTGTCTTCTCATCCTAAAAGGGAGTTGCCAGTCCACCTGCCCTGCTGAACTACAGAATCTCCAGTCCATATTCCCATTCAGAGGAGAAACTTGGTATGGAAGCAGATCTATTTACACAGAGGCAGAGAAAATCTACACCACTCCATAGACCTTTTTAAAATATAGATAGCCAAGAATCAGCAGGCATATGAATACAGTCAGCACCGCAGAAGAGAAAGACTAAGTGAACTAACAGCAACAACAACATAAAAATCAAACATTAACAACAACAATTGTCCCTGCAAGAAACAGAAAAAATTTAGGGGACTTAAAAGGTATTCTATTAATATAGTAAAAAATATGTGAGACAGCATCTCATTTATAAAGCAAAATGCTTTAAGACAAAAATCAAATATAAAATAGGAAACAGAGGACAATCTCTCAAAACAGGAAAGACCACAATATAAAAAAGGAGAAAACTAAGAGATACAGAACACTAATGCAAGGTATATAACAGCCAACTGATAAATAGTAATTTCAGAAAGTTAGAAAAGGGAAACTAGAGGGAAGGAAATCATCAATAAATAATAGAAGAAAATTCTGAGTGCTAAAAGGGACATGAGTTTTCAGAACACCAAGAACAAAAAGAAAATTTTGTAGGTTTCTGACAGAAGGGTCTGGGGTTGGGAGTGAAGTTAACTGCAAAGGAATAAGAACCAAACTGGCATTTAATTTTTCAGTAGTAACATTCAGATAAAAAATTATTTTCAACCTGGAACTCTATACTCAGATAAACTAGAATAAAGACAAGACCTGGTAGGTAGCTCATACCTCACTTTGGAAGGCAAAGGAGGGGAGATTGCTTGAGTCCAGGAGTTCAAGACCAGGCTGGGCAACATAGTGGGACCCTGTCTCTACAAAAATTATTAAAAGTAGCCAGACTTGATGGCTTCAACTGTAGTCCTAGCCTCAGGGAAGGCTGAAGTGGAAGGATGGCTTGAGCCCAGGAGTTCAAGGCTGCAGTGAGCCACGATAATGCCACTGTACTTCAGCCTGGGTGACAGAGCAAGACCCTGTCTCTTAAAAATAAAATAGAAATAAAGACAAGATAAAGCTATTTTAAGAAATGCAAGGGCTTAGAATATTTACTTTTTAATCTTTCTTAGGAACTTACTTGACCACATTCTTCAGCAAAATAAGAAAGTAAATTGATTAACCGAAAAACAGGAAACAGTGTAATTCACGGTACACCAAGGAAGAACTGTCTGAGGGTGATAATTGTGTTGCAAGCCTAAAAAACACCTGGTCCAGATTGAAACTCACTTCCAGGCTCCAAACCCACATATTCAGCAACCAGCTGTGCAACTCCACCTAAATATACCACAAACATCTCAAACTCTCAGACTGACTTCATCTTCCGTTTTCCCCAAAACTGCTTCCTCCTCTATGCTGTCTCACTTAAGGATCTCATCATTTAGTCCCCCATGTCAGAAACTTGGGGGTTTCAGTCACCCTCAGCATTCTTGGGAGGATTTGTTCCAGGACCCCTGCTTGTACCAAAATCCGTGCATAATCAAGGCAGGCAGTCAGCCCTGTGGAACCTGCATATGTGGCCCTCAGAATATGCAGGCTTTGCATCCCACAAATACTGTATTTTTGATATGCATTAATATTAGGTTTTTTTCAAACTACATATAAGTGGACCCTTGAAGTTCAAACCCATGTTGCTCAAGAGTCAACTATTTTTAAAATATCCTTTTCATTTCCCACATCTAGAAGGCCTCTAAGTACCATCAGTTCTACTTTTAACCACCTCTTTAACTTCTTTGCCATCTTCCTAGTTCAGGCCTCATTATCTCTCGCCCAGATCTTTCAGTTGTACGTTACCTGGCTTTCCTCCCTCCAGAATGGAAATTTCTCCTTTCTCCTTTATACTGCCTCAGACTCACCCTTCTAAAACATAAGCCTGGTCATGTCAATCTCCTGTTGAAAACCTTTCAATGACTGAAAAAAAAAAAAAACCTTTTAATGACTGACCCTCTATTTGTTTAAGAGGTGCTAGGAAGAGTGAGAGTCCTTAGACTCCATTTCTTTTCTTTTTTCCTTTCTTTTTATTGTTTTTAATTTTTTAATTTTTTTTTTTTTTTTTAGAGACAGGAGTCTCACTCTCTCATCTAGGCTGGAGTGCAATAGCACCATCATAGCTCGCTGTAACCTTGAACTTCTGGACTCCAGTGATCCACCCAGGTCAGCCTCCCAAGTAGCTAAGACTACAGGTGTGTACCACCACGCCCAACTAATTTTTTATTTTTATTTTTGGAAATGTTGCCCGGGTTGGTCTCAAACACTTGGCCTCAAGTGACCATCCTGCTTTGGGCTCCCAAGGCACTGAAATAACATGTGTGAGCCACTGCACCTCGTTCCAACCTCTTTTAGCAGCCTGAGTGTTTCTGCTTTCTGAGGACCTAAAGCAGAACCCATTAACTTTCTCCTACTTTTCCTTTTTCACCATCTGTCCAGACACCCAAGATAAAAATATCACTGTCAACTTCTACCTTTTCCTTTTCCTCGCTCCCTATTTGGGTACCGTTAACGAGTCTAGGAAAAAGGGATTTAAGAATTCATATGCTTTCTATGATCATTGACAATTATCTTTAAATTGCTTTTATAGGGCCGGGCATGGTGGCTCATCCCTGTAATCCCAGCACTTTGGGAGGCTAAGGCAAGAGGATTGCTTGAGCCCAGGCAACATAGTGAAACCCCTATCTCTATGAAAAATCAAAAAAATTAGCCAGTTATGGTAGCATGTGCTTGTAGTCTCAGTACTCAGGAGGCTGAGGTAAAAGGATTGCCTGACCCCAGGAGGTTGAGGCTGAGGTGAACCATAATCATGCCACATCACTCCAGCCTGGGCAACAGAGAGACCTTGAGTGTAAAATAAAATAAAAATTGCTTTTATAAAGTCATGGTGAATAGAAGTTCATACCACCTCTAAAATAAGTTAAATATAAAACATAAATTGCTTTTATAGAGTCATGGTGAATAGGAGCTCATACTACATCCACATAAAAGAAAATATTACATTTATAAATTGATGGTAAACAGGAGTGCATACTGCCTCCTAAAACTAATTAGGATGAATCTACAATTAAAAAAAAATTCAAGGGGAGCTCAAGTGTTAAAGAATATTATGGAGAAATGTACTTCTTATATTTTTATTAAATTCAAGGTATGATCCTAATCAAATAATTTAATAATTAACTATTAAGCTTATAAGATGTCCTAGATCTTAGGTTTAGGGTAAATGACTACAAAATATTTGTATTTGATTGAAAAGAAGGGCTGTTGTGGTGCCTTGACTCTTTCCACGAAAGCCACAAGTTTGTTTTTAACTTCTCAAAGTTTAATGGAAATAAAAAAGGGGGGAAAAAGTCAAGTTTAATTGAATCATGAGCAAAAAGTACTTTATTATAAAAGACAAATCACTTTTAGGAAAGTCAGTAGATTTAATTTCTCCTCATTTCAATAAGTATTTTAACATTATTAAATTTACTCACATGTAATTAAAACTATTTTTGGTTACCAGTACTATCACAAGAACTGAAAATTGCCTGGAAACAGAGCAATATATTTGTCAATTAATTTCTTTAGGGAAGGTTTAGCCTGAATAACAAAGAATCTTTAATAATGGAAATACTGAAACTATTTCTCCACTTATGTCTCAACAATAACCCAAAACCTAGACCTTTGGGAAGGTTACAAAGATGTTGGATTGCATGATTTTCATTATATGGTTTTACTTAGCATGCTTATTAGGAAAATTAAGAAAATTGAAATTTCCAAATGATTTAGACTAATAAATGAAAAGCCAGAGAAACTAGACAAAGGGATTCAAAGTAGTTAGAAACCAGGGTTTCAAGCACAAGGCGGCATAAGACTAGCTTGGATCTTTCAGGAGGAAATGTCAAGAACACATATTTTGTGCAGGCTCCCAGGTCTGTGACCTACAACAGGTGTAACTAAATTATTTTTCCCAGTTTCTATGTACATTTGTTGGGTATTTGAGAAGGGAGCAGGGATGGGGATGGGGGGGCATGGGGGTCTTCCACTGCCACCTTTTCACTTTCTTACCCCAGAAAAGGTATATTTATGATTCTGAAAAAGAACTAGTTTTTATTTCCTCACATTTCAAAAGGCTGGGAGGGAGATAGCAATGGAGGGGAACATTACTTAATACCCTAAAGGCTTTGTCATAGGATCCTTAGCCTGAAAGATTGGGTGTAACACCCCAAAAGGGCCCTCCTTCCCAGCTTTGGAAAGATACCAAGAACTGTGTGTGCTACTTCCCAAGCATGCCAAGCCCTTGGGTCAAACATCTCCAAATGTTCTATTAATTCCTTCTGTTTACAACCTCTAACCATAATTTCTTTCTCATCCTTTGACATTTGAAAATCATAAACTTTTCCTTAAGGCATTCAAGCTTGTAATCAAGTTAATGATCTCTCAACATAGGAGCTCCTGAGACACCAAGTCCTAGCTTTATAATTTAGTGTTATGAACTTAAATGGTTTTGCTAAATTGTTGGAGGCAGGTAAATAATATATGTTTTTCTTTCTAATTCCAAGCCGCCAGCAATATTTGGGCCTTTTTTATAACTCTGGTATTCCTCCATGTTATAATTATTTGTGTTTTTGTTCACTGGATCATAAGCTCTCTTGCCTTATTCGTCTTTGTACCCTTCTACATCTTTGCTCAGAGCTTTGCCCATAATAAGGATTCAGGCATTTAATAAGTGACCATGTGATAAAGCTATGCATGTATAATATACTTTATCTTCAAAATTCCAAAATACAATCCAATCTCAATGACAAAGTGGAAAGTGCTAGTCATTTCCTCAATACTCATCTCAGTGTTACTCTTGGCAACTTCTGACAAGAGATATTGAATCTAAACCCCTGCACCTTTTTTTGTTTCATCATATTTCCTTAGACTCTTATTTCCTCCTCCAGTTTATCTTTCTCTTATTTTCACCAGCCTGCCCCTTTCTATTTTATACTCTTATTTTTAATTCCTGTGTTGTCCTGGTCTCTCTCCATGAGTGCCCCTGGATCCAGCACCCAAATAGTTCGTGCTGCTTTGGATGGCAGAGAGGTGGTTTTGGGGGTGCTGTCTGATAGTGGCCTTCTATATGTTCTCCCATTATCCTTAGACAAAAGTTACCAAAATGCACTTCTTAAAAATGAATGGGAACTCTACTAACAGAACTAGGAAATGTGTTCATATCTGAGTTAACCATATTTTTTTTTACAGGCCCAATTGATGTATCAAAGTTAGCCAAATTTCTTCAGTAAACATTACTTAAGCCTGCTGTGTCTATCAATGGCCTTCTATCACCTACAGAATAAAACCAGACTCCTTAGCATTATTTGGCTCTTCCCTAATTATCCTCTCCTACTGCTTCCCATTTCTACATGGTACCTATCCACATCAAACTAATTGTGTCTTTCCTCTTGCCTCCTCCTCCCTCTCATGTCTGCCCAGGGCATCCCTACTCAGTTTTCAAGATCCATATGAGGTATCATCTCTACCATTAATTTTCCATTATCTCCTGACACATGATAGAAATAGGGTAAACCTCTCTGTCCTCCCACAGCACCTAGATGGCTTCCATTATGGTTATTATCACATTGTTTTCTGTTTTTATCACCGCCTCTCCCACAAATTAATGAGATCCTTGAAGACTACTGTCTTATTGATCCTTTGTTCTCAAAGTGTAATATAGTTTCTGCCACCATTGTAGGCTTACGATACAATTGAATGAATGAATGAACAAACAATATTTCATCTAGTTCCCAGAACTACCTAGCACTTGGAGAGACTATAATTGCATTAGAGGCTGTTAGGAAGGACTACTCGACTTGTGCTTCTCTTTTTTTAAATACCATAATATAGCATTTTTTCCCAGAGTTATTAGTTTTCATTGCATTGCTTATAAATACTCTTAGAGAGATGCTAATTTAGCTACCAATATGCTATATTGTTGAATTAATTAGCCTTATTTTATTATTTATCTCTGCCTGTAACTCACATATAAGTCCATCAGTGTTTTTGAAGGGCGGAAAAGGACAACTGTTTTTTGTAAAAACTGCCTAACCATACAGACAAGTTCTGCTGGTAATTTAGAAAAGAGTCCATTCATTCCTTTTTTGAGAGAAAGGATAAAATAAAGCCCAGTAATAAAGACTATATGACAAGTCTTCCCCCCAGACAAATGCACTTTTAGAAATGAATTGATTATAGAAGACTTACTAGAACTAAAGCAACAAGTACCAGTATTCATTCTTTTCTTCTGAGAACAGATTGCAACTCACAGAAAGAAAGTTGAAGAATTAGGAGATGAAATTCACAAACTGGAAGAAGAAAATTTGGTACTTATCGAACAACTATTCAACTGTAGACTTATGGATCTCAAAATACCCAGGTGAAGGTTGTTAACATCTCTAGAAAGTACTTTGTAAACATTTGTATCTGTAAAAAGTTGTTTGTTTTAAAAAGTGATTTAATTCTTCAACGCTTCAGTCAGATTGCAATAGTCGAAAAGAAAGCAACACACAAATTGGCCATGATGAAAATTATTACTATTGACCATAGGTACAGTGTAAACTTTGACTTATTTTCCCTAGCAATGCACTGTAGTCATAATAGCAGACATTTAACAAGAATGTCACAACTGCCAACCTCAGGAGCCTCCAGGCCAGTCAGGAGAAATGGTCATGAAAATAAATGAGTAATACTGCAGAGATGTATGAGGTGCCAGTTAGCACAAAGGAAGGGGTGATAACTTTCCAGAAGTTTCATGAGGTGTTCTGGGCTTCTGGTTACCTTGTAGACCACAGATTTATTTTATTTGAAGAAAGAGTCAAACTACTTTGTAGGCAGAGAAAATAATTTGGCATTCCAAGTCACATCTGTCCCCACACAAGAAAAACCACATGGCATTTGTTATGTGAGAGGAGCCAAAGGACTTTCTAGTTTAGGTTAACTGCTGTTCTTACCTGACAAAAAAATCTTAATGTACCAATCCTGATGAAAAACTAGGGCCATGGAATATAAAATTAAAATTCAAAATGGCACTCATGATTTAGACAAATAGTCAAAACTCAGAAATCATCTAAATGGCAGCATGTTTAGGAGGAAAGGGGAAATCCATCACACAAACGTACGTATACATGTAGGGTGTATATGTGCAATAATGGGAGAGGAATATCTGGGGCCAGGAATTAAAGTAGATGTTAAGTTGAACCTGGTGGGAGAACCAGGAAGAATTTTCCACCCAAGTAGTTCCGGTTGCATGTATATGTGGAAAAGCACTCTTTGAGGCACAATATGCATTTGTTACATTGTTGCAAACCTTCTAATGTTTTCCAAGAAAGGTGGATGCAGGTAAGTTGTGGGTTGTTTGTTTGCTAGGCTAAATGATGGGTATCAGGATACAAGATCAGGGAATTGGAAGACAATGTAATTACTTTTCAGGCTGAAAACAGGGTGAGGTAAGGTCAAGAAAAAGGCCACTTGCCTTTTTTCCAGGATTACTACCTTGCACATGAGTGCTCGTGTCAATGACTCAGGAGGTGAGGCTAAATGAACTGGTTACTGAGTTCCGGAACTTCCTGGTGGCAGGTGCCTCACGGCTCCCCAGTGGGCAGCGTTCTCTCTTGCCAGTCCTCTCTGTGATCAGGTCTCCAGCTGATTCCTGTCCCACCTCTAATCCTTATCATCTGTTCTACTGCTGCCACCTTCTTTGTGATCATGCCTAACCTCGGCCAGCCATTGCTGGTGAATGGCTTCTAACCACTGCTATACCTGCTGTCCACTCTCTTCTTTTCTGAGCTGGCCAACCTCAGGAAAGTGCTATCCTCTAAACTGCCCGTCCCACTTCTCTGCTGGCATATCAGATTTAGTGCTGATATGATCATAAAGTGCCAATATTTGTAAGGAAGGGTTTTTTTTTTTTTTTTTTTTTAGTTGAAGTCTCACTCTATTGCCCAGGTTGGAGTACAATGGCACGTTCATGACCACCGCTGCCTCAACCTGCTGGGCTCAGGTGATCCTTCTGCCTCAGTCTTCCAAGTAGCTGGAACTACAGGCATGCACACCATACCCGGCTAAATTTTTTTTTTTGTCTTTTATTGTAGAGATGAGATCTCGCCAAGTTGCCCAGGCTGGTCTCAAACCCATGGGCTCAGGCAGTCCTCTCACCTCAGCCTCCCAGAGTGCTGGGATTATAGGTGTGAGTCACCATGCCTGGCCTAAGAAGGGGATTCTTTCATTAGCCAGTGGGGACTTAGCAAGAACAGGACAGAAGATGAAAAACTTGTAATGGGGATTTTCATTAAGTAAGTTTAAAACCCACATTGTAGGCCAGGCTTGGTGGCTCAGCCTATAATCCCAGCACTTTGGGAAGCCGAGGCAAGTGGATTGCCTGAGCCTGCAGGTTCAAGCCCAGCCCGGGCAACTTGGTGAGCCCTCATCTCTACAATAAATAAAAAAATTAGCCAGGCATGGTAGCGCATGCCTATAGTTCTAGCTACTTGGAAGACTGAGGTGGAAGGATCGCCAGAATCCAGCAGGTCGACGCTGGGGTGGCCGTGTGCATGCCACGGCACTCCAACCTGGGCAACAGAGTGAGACGCCAACTCCAAAAGACAAAACAAAACCCCACATTATTCATCAGTGCCTTAGGAGTTGATTTCTCTCGTGAGCAGCATAGAATGCTTTAGTCCAGCTTCAGAGTTAGAAGAGATGAAATCAACGTCTTTCCAAGGGAAAAGAAACAGCATGGTTGACATTTATAGGAAGTGGGCTAGATGTCCTTGGTATATGCTTCCATAGCACCTTGAACTTTTCTTTTATTATCAGCCTTTATCACACTTTTGATTCCTTATCATTATTATCATTGTTCTTATTATTTTTAGAGGCAGGGTCTCACTTTGTTACCCAGGCACAATCACAGCTCACCACAACCTCAACCTCCCTAGACTCAGGCAATTCTTCTACCTCAGGGTGGGGACTGCAGGTGTGCATCATGACATCTGGCTAATTGTTTGATTTTTTGTAGAGATGCAGTCTTGCTATGTTGTTTAGGCTGGTCTCGAACTCCTGGGCTCAAGCAATCCTCCTGCTTTGGCCTCTCAAAGTGCTGGGACTATAGGCATGAGCCACCATGCCCAACTTTGAATCCTTATTTAATGTCTATTTCCTTGCTAGATTGTAAACTCCTCGAGGCAACTGTTTTGGACATTTTAGAAAGATCTGCATAAGAAAACTGAGAAATTACCCATCAAACTTTTTATCCAGAAAGACAACATGAGAATGTTCAGGAGATTTTACGTACCCATTTCCAAGTCCAAGAAATATAACATGTATTATATGTCTTATGGTAACTGCCCTTCCCACCTTTCTGTTGAGAATTAAGTCTTGTATAATACAAGTAGGGTGGTGAGAAATAGACATGATCTGTCCTCAGTGGACATATAAAAAGGTATATTTTCCTGCTTGGGTGAGGAATGGGTTATTGTGCTTAATAGAGTTACTACATTTCCCATGTAGAAGTGCCCAAACCTCCTTTCATCACACCTTACATGGAATCGTAGGATTTGTTTGACACTTGGGGAAAACAGATGAGGCAACTGTTAGGCAGAAGTGACTGTCTGAGGCTCCAGGGTCACAGGGCTGAGGCAAAGATATCTAAGACTAGATATCTAAGACTAACAGAATAATAGCATCTTTAAAATATTTTCTGATCTGCACGATGTCCACTTGTATACCTAATCCTGAATTGTATCCCACGTCTTTAAAGTAAAACAGGAAAAAATTTAAAATATATAAATAATAAACTAAAATATTTTCTGCATTTGTATACCTAACCCTGAATTGTGCCCCACATCTTTAAAATAAATTGAAAACAAAATAAAATATCTTCTGTGTCATTAAATATCATGTTGCAACCTTGTAGTAGTTTAGAAGTGACAACAAACTAATGATTCGTAGAGATAGCTCGATTTATGAAAGTTATTACATAGAAAATAATTCTATGACCTCAGATATGTCTACCTGCAGACCAGAGCTACCTGTGAAACTTACCTTTACTAAATTGTCATTAGAAAGCTTTACAGATATAAATATTGTATGTAGTTATAGTATTTGCTGGAGCCATAAGCATTCGGATAATGCTTTATTTGTGCTCTGTAAATAATCAGTCACCCCTAATTCTGGGGATTCTCTTAGGTTGCTGATCTGCTAAGCATGAGGGGTTGTTCACACCGTTTCAAGGGTCTGGTTGCTTTGTGCTGTTTACAGGCAAACCTCATGGAAAAGCCATGTGGAGCTTTTAAGGCATCGCATTTTCTGATTGAAAATTCAGCAGGCATTCTAAAAGGGAGAGGATAGAATTAAATGCATTCACAGAGAGCTACAGCAGCACACACATCAGTTCACTGGGCTTGAAGTCAAAATGTGCCACTAAGTGAAAGCAAAGAGGGACCCAGATGGTATCTTGAACTCCTACTGCTCACTTTCCCTTTCTCTTTTTCTCTTCATCTCAAAGTCATCCTATTCAGGTCACTATCATTCCTCACCTGAATTACTACCCATAGTGACCTCACTGGCACATGCTTACTCTCATTTCTTGAACTTTAAGTGTTCTATGACCTTATCTTGGAATGCGTTTCTCTCACCCCTAGCTCTTCCCTGGCAAACGCCTCCAGGTTCAAGATGCAACTCAGGCTTCATCCAGGAGACCTTCCCTTCCCTCCTACGGCCAGCTCAGGTGCTTCTTCTTCCTGCATTCTCACACTCTGCTAATTACCCATCATGGTACAGACCCTCACTTTAAAATACTGTAAGACTGTCTGCCATCCTGCTGGTCCTTATGCTACTACTCAGAGTAGAAACTCTGTCTCATTTTTCATTTGTGCATCTCCAGCACCTAGTAAAGAGGTAGACACTAGTGAGCATGTGATGCAGTGTTTATTGACGGTCAGACTTTCTTATTTGTTCTCTCAGGAGACTATACCTTACCCAAGCTGCTGGATTGGAAGTGCCACCTGAAGAAATGCATTTGGAGTTGCCAGAAACACATATAGGTATTGTTTCATTGCAATAGTAATAATTTTCTTCAAACATGTATTTTAACAAATGCATATTTGCTATAGGCAGGTGCCTGACATACAAAAGCTATTCAGGGAGCAAACAAATGCTGGTCACTCTCGATTTCTCCTTGCAGTGCTTGTCCTAACCTATCTCCTCTCTCCAGTCCCATTTGCAACTCAAAGTCACCATGTTTCATAGTGAATTAAATAAATACTGATGGATGAGGGATAGGCTGTTGTCTACACTGGCAAGGTCTGGGGCCCAATTTAGCCAACCAAAATGATGGTATACACATAGGTTCCAATATAATTACTGTCACTTACCAGCTAACAGAAGGCAATACAACTTAGATAGAGTTTCTAAAAATGGAACTCCCTCTTACTTTAATACATAAATTCTACATTTCTAATTCTCAAAGTCCTTTCAGATTAAAAATGTGACAAGGTATGTATTGCATTTTTATTTTTATCTGTTCAAAATGTATATATAATTGATTTCTTTGTATTCATCCAAGAAGAGAAGTCAAAATTGCAACCTGTTGAAGTAGAAAGAAGAGGGAGGGTGAGCTCATCAGCCGAGAGCAGCGCCTTACATGCCAGCTGTGAAAATAGTGCCAAAGATGTCCAGCATCTGAAGGTAGATGCAGAGAAGAATTCATGCACAGGGTTTGGGGACTCTAACATGAAATACTTACTACACGAGGATGAGCAGGATTTCAAGGTAAGACTCATGAGAACACAACTATGACTGACTAAGAAGTTTTATTAATTAATGGAGAAAATGAACCTACCATATGGATATTGAAAACTCCACTTGCAATTATTGGTACAATTGGCCCACCATTCACATCTTCATTGGATATGATTTCACCCCTACTCTTGCTAATTTGTTACATATATTCATTTGTAGACCACCATTATAACTATATAAAGTGAATTATCTAATCTACGTAACAAATAATCTTTAACCTAGTGGCATATAACAATAATTATTTATTGTCTTTCAGGGCTTCTATTGGTTAGGAATTCAGAAAAGGCTCCACTGGACACTTCTCAACTGGCTTTCAGGCAGTTGCAATCATGTGTTAGCTGGGGCTGCACTCATTTGAAGGCATGATTGGGGTGGAGGCTTCCTTTCCAAGCAGGTTTATGCATATGGCTAGCAAGTTGATGCTGGCTAACTAAGGGGCTCAGTTCCTCTTCACATGGGCCTCTCCACAGGGTGCTTTGAATTCCCTTTGTTATTTGGCCTGGCTTCTCCCAGAGTAAGCAGTGTTTTATATGGCTTACTTTGGAAATAATGCACCACCACATCTATTCTACTGGTAGAATGCAGTTACAAAGTTCTACCCAAAGGAAAGGAGCATAGCTCGTACATCTTGATGGAGGAAGTTCAGTGCCACATTGTAAGAATAGCATATACGAGAGGAGATATATTAAGCCATCTTTAGACAATACAAACTGCTGCCTATACTATTAGTCAACACCCGGAGTAACAAGTCTTCTATTTTAAAAAAAATCTTTTTTTTGGTACATTCCAATGAGTCCCACAGCCACCCTTTGCTATTTTCCTTCTTGATACTTTTGATATAAAAGTTCTCCTAGAACTTAAAGTCTGATAGGAGAAAAGCTAATGTAAGAAAGCAGAATAAATTTAATAAACCAGCACAGACCATTTTAATGAACTATAATTTAATGAAGTACAATTCATTCCTGCTATCATCGAGTGAACGTTTAAAAACTAAGTTCTAGCCTCTCTAGTATTAAACACCTCCTGAGTATCTTGAAATCATGACTCCTGGTATGTCATGATGATCTTAGGCTACTGGACAATTGTCTACAAAATCCCTAAATTTTACCTCATTTGGTTGAATGAAAGACCTTCTTACTTCCCAGGTTAGTTTTTGATGTGGTTGAACTGCCATGGCCACTGTGTATTACTTCAGAATCCTCCTCCAGATAACTCTGAAATGGGTGGAAGTTAATCAATTTGCTCTCCTATCATGGCTCTAAAATTACATATTTTAAGAGCTAAATTGAATTATAAGCATTTTTGAGAAATAAAAAACATCTCCTTCCTTTTTCATTCTTAGATACTCCTAAATTCAAATAAATATTTATTGAGAACCCCACAACATGCCAGGAACTTGTTAGATGCTTGGGAATTTAAGAGGGAGAACAGGAAGAAATGAAGTCTCAGAGATACTTGTATGGAAAGCTCTTCCCCAAAATTGCTTACAGGCTCACAGAAGGCAGATAAGAAAATCAAGAATTACCCTGTAAGAAGAAATGTACCATGCATACCTGTCTCCCTGACCAGTCTGTGAGTTTGTCATTGCATCCCAGCACTTGACACAGGGCCTGGCACACAGTGGATAGTCGGGTGAGGTTTGATGCAGTGTTCAAGGAATTTAAAAGCCAGAGTTACGCCTTAGGGTGCTTCCCTGAGGAAGGACCATTGGATAGGGCCTGAGCTTTGTCAACCCAGTTTGGGATTGGCTGTGGGATTTCATATAAATTAAACCACTAATTCTGTTTAATATCTGTATATCACACTATAGTTAGTTTGGCAGAATGTGGTAAGTTTTCTCTATATACTAGCCAAAGATCTGTAAGAAGTGCAAAATTCATGGAGAATTTGCTCAATATTTGAATATTTATAGTTAAAGTGGCATTTGCAGAATCTTTTACTTTGTTTTTTTTGGGGGGGGGTGGTTGGCGTCTCACTCTGTCACCCAGGCTGGAGTGCAGTGGCACGTTCACAGACACTGCAGCTTTGATCTGCTGGGCTCAGGCAATCCTTCTGCCTCAGCCTTCTAAGTAGCTGGAACTATAGGCATACACTACCACACCTGGCTTATTTTTTTATTTATGGTAGAGACAAGGTCTCACCAAGTTGCCCAGGTTGGTCTCAAACCCCTGAGCTCAGGTAATCCTCCCACCTCTGCCTCCAAAGTACTGGGTTTACAGTGTGCCCGTCCTTCCCTTTGTTCTTAAATAACATAGAAAACTCTGCTGTGGTCATATCTGGGCCAGCGGAGGGCTATATAGCCATGTACCACATAACAACACTTTGATCAATGACCACATACACAACAGTGGTCCCATAGATTATGAGAGCTGAAAAATTCCTATCACTCAGTGACACCAGAACATTATAGCACAAGGGATCACCTTTTCAATGTATATATATATAAATGGTGTTACATACCATTGTGTTACAGTTGCCTACAGTTTTCATACAGTAATATTCTATACAGTCTTGTAGCCAAGCATTAGGCTACCATGTAGCATAGATGTGTAGTAGGCTGTACCATCTAGGCTTGTATGTGTAAGTACAGTGTATGATTTTGCACAGTGACAAAATTGCCTAACAACACATTTCTCAGAACTTATCCTTGTCCTTGTCATTAAGTGACATATAATGAGTGTATAGGCAACACTCAGAGTTAAAGAACCTGCAGAGGATAGAGCACCCCACTCTAGCCAGCACCTCTCCCCACTCAGTCCCCTGGGAGACAAGCCTACCAGCCTTGCTGCCTGTTCTAGGCAAGATCTTCCCTACTATGTATGCCCCACTGGGTATATAAATTTACTGAGAGTTGTTGTTTTGGTGTTTTTTTTTTTCTTTCTTCCCATTTATAGTGGTTTTCATATTTTATGTGTTTTACAGCATTCAGGCAATTGGGAGGGCAATGAAATCTGTCAAAGGCCAATGGTTACAAAGAAAAACTAAACAAACCTGGTAACCTGCCCAATAACCTTTCCTACTCTCTTCTGTGTCTGTTCACCATAGGATTATGTAAACTTGGGTCCCCTGGGAGTGAAGCTCATGAGTGTGAAAAGCAAGAAAATGCCCATTCATTTTCAAGAGAAGGAAATGCCAGTGAAGTTCTATGACGATATCAGCAGCCCAGAAAATCGCATCACATACACGATGATGAAATCTTTTCTCTAAGACTGAAAGCTACAAAGTACAAAACTTTTCCTTATAAATAAATGTTCCTTGGGAACTGAAGAATATTAGTTGCTCATTTTACTTATACTCTGGCTCCAGTTGTTATTTCTGAAGGTCATAATTGCATTTACATTCAAACTTCCAAGTATTCAGCTACTCATTTGCTTGTGTAGTATGAATGACCAAAGTGAAAGTACACTTTGTATTTCTATGTAGAAGCATGCAGATGCATGGCAGTGGGTTCAAGGTGGTCTCCGTGGCCCCTTCCCCCTAAAAAGTTCACTGATTGATCTATGATTCCAATATGAAATCGTTCCACTAGAAATGTTTCTAAGAAAGACTTAGAGATTTGCATAGCTTTGTTTACACACCTTTCCTTCTGAAGGTCCTGAAGATAGATAATTCAAGTCTATTCTTCTTAGTTTAACCTTACTTATAAAGATTATCCAAACTTTTAGAAAGAAATTTGTTCCACTGATAAGGATACCACGGCTATATCAGGTCTAAACTAGCATATTCCTATCCAAAACGATTACCACTTCTCTTTTAGGGCTACCAAAAGCCAAGAACACCCAGACTACCTGAATGTGATATCAGCATTCCATCTGAATCCTCAAGACCAGATAATACCACCATGTGTCATATTTTCATAATCTTTAATGATGTAAAAAAGTCCATTCTATCATTGATGGGAGATGTCATTGGCATTTTAAGTAAGGACAATCATGCAGCACTCTCTTGAGTCCTGCAGGACATTAACATTCCTGCTCCCTCAGTCTCGCTGCTACCTTAACACTCCTCAATCACTGAAGAAGTCAGGAACACTGGTCATGTTCTCCAACACCCCTTAGGGGGTAGTGCCACCACCAATTGAACACCTTTGAGTTTCTCCTATGCTTTAATCCCCACTGTTCTCAATGCTTCCTAGACTCTTCCCACTGTCTCCCAAACCTTCCAAACATGCCTTCTGAAACAACAGTAAACAAATGCTATTTTCCAAGGTTTCCTCTACTCTCTGGTCTTGACTGGCAACTGTTTCTCCCCCAAAGACTACTGACAGCCCTCTCACGTGGATGGTATTTATTCTTCTATGTCCCCACATTCTGCAGGGCCCACGTGCTTTCGCCAGCTCAATGCCTCTTCTTGACCTCTTCTTCATGCATGAAACACTCCTTTTGAGGTTCTGTATGGATGTTGCCCTCTACCACTTTCCTTTGCTATAATTTGCTCACCTTTCTTGTCATTATTTTCCATGACCTTTAATTTGGCACCTGTTTAACACAGCCTTCCTGTCCCACACAGGCTTCCTATCCACTCTTCTTCATGCCCTGCCATATCCATCTATTGAAATACCTGTGAGTCATTCATGAATATAAAATTATTGGATATATATGAGGTTCCATTTTACCATTCCATATCTACTCTCTACCCTGCTTTCTGTGACCTTTGTGGACTACATGGATGGTTTCCTTGCCTTTGAACTTCCAATTGGGTTTTTTCAATGGGAGATTCTGACAGGAAACCAAAGAAAGGGAAAAGGGTGAGTTTTATTCCACAACCTCTTTCCCTACTAGGTCATGTGTGTTAGCAGAGTCCCTCTACCAAAGGCCACAGTGGCTGTTGGGAGACTCAACCAGTACAGGTTGGACATCCCTATTGTGAAAACCCCAAGTCCAAAATTTTCTAAAATCAAAAAGTTTTGAGCATCAACATGATGCCACAAGTTCCACACCTGATCTCATGTGATGGGTTGCAGTCAAAACTTTGTTTCATGCACAAAATTATCTAAAATATTTCATAAAATTACCTACAGGCTATGTGTAGAAGGCATTTATGAAACATAAATAATGTTTAGACTTAGATCCCCATCCCTAAGATACTCATAATGTATATGCAAATATTTCAACATCTGGGGGAAAAAAATAAAACAACCTGAACTCTGAAACACTTCTGGTTGCAAGCATTGCAGAAAAGGGATACTCAATCAGATAAGGAATGCTCAACTGGTACAGCTACTCTCTAGGTCTGATAACTGCCCTCCCTTTGCCCCTTTAGGTCCAGGAGTGGTAACAGTTCCCACCTGTGGATAGCCCCAGGGAGTTTTATCGGTCTTTTTAGTTTTGTCTAAACCTGCCCACATCTTTGCATATACTCCCTTTGTCAAATTTTCTCTAAGTATTGTGTCTGAATGTGCCCATTTTTTCCTGCTGGGAGAGGTCAAGGCTGGAGATAGATATCTGGGAATCAACAGCCCAGCACTGAATTAAAGTCATGAAAGCCTGGATAACATAACCTAGGGACTAACAATTAGTAGAGAAGAGAGCCATGGGTATACTTGGGACCCTTCATTGTGTAGAAGTGGGGCCTAAAACAAAAAGATATTACCCCAAAATCAAGAGATTTGAAAGCAGATGTGGACTGAATCTAGGTAGGGCTACAAACTAACACTGATTCAGCCCAGTTCCTGAATGGATTGAGGTGATTAACCCCATCTCATATGCTAACAGAGGATATAGATTCTTTTTCTCTGGGGAAAAATGAATGTCAACTCAAATATTATGTTCCTTTTATACACAATGTTAAGCACATGAAAAGTATGCGCTGGGCTCGGTGGCTCAGCCTGTAATCCCGCACCTTTGGGAGGCTGAGGTGAGTGGATTGCCTGAGCCCGTGGGTTTGTGACCTGTCTGGGCAGTGAGACCTCATCTCTACAATAAATCAAAAAATCAGCCAGGTGTGGTAGCGCACGCCTGTAGTTCCGGCTACTTGGAAGGCTGAGGCGGGAGGATCGCCAGAGCCCAGCAGGTCGAGGCTGAGGTGGCCAGGAGCAGCCACTGCACTCCAGTCTGGGCGACAGAGTGAGACTCCAACTCAAAAAAAATAAAAGAAAAGGAAAAAAAAAAAAAGAGAAAAATATGCATATATAAAAACATGCAAGGAAGCAGGAAAATATGACTAATTATCAGGAGGAAAAGCAAACAAACAAAAAAGCATGCCTACAGATGATCCAGATATTTAAGTCAGTAGGTTAGGAATTTAAGAATACTATTACAAATATGTTAAAGAAAAGCAAGGAAAAGATAGGTAAAATAGATGAAAATATGTAGATTTTAACAATTAGACTCTACAAAAAAAAAAAATCAACTGGACATTCCAGAAATGGAAACACACAAAATCGAAAACTAATGATTTAAAATTAAGTTAGTTGAATTTAATGGCAGACTGGACATGGAAGAAGCCAGGATTTTATTTTGGGACAAGTCAATAGTCAATATCCCAAAACAGTCAAACACAATTCCAGAGAGAATAGAGAACAAAAAGAACAGAACACAGTGGTAATGATCATTGTGGATTATGCAAGGCAACATACAGACAGTTGTCATACGAGGGAAAGGGGAAGCAGGACTAAAAGATAAGAAATACATGAAGATATAATGGCTAAGAGTCTCAAAACTGATGAAAGACATCAACCTACAGATTCAATATACTCAGCAAACCCCAGCCAGAATTAGGCACACGATAATTAGGGTGCTAAAATCTATACTCAAAAGGAAAAGGTTTAAAGTAGACTGAGGAAAGAGATATATAACTTTCAAAAGAACAACAAATTGATAGCTGACTTTTCAGCTGAAACTATGGAAGACAGAAGAGAATGGAAAAGTATCTTTAGAGCAAGTACTGAAAAGGAAAAAGGTCAGCCTTGAATTCTACACCCACAAAAATCCCTTCAAAATTGAAGATTTAAAAAAATTGTAAGACAAACAATAACTGAAATAATTTGCCATTGGTACACCACACTGCTAAACAACAACAACAACAAAACCCAGCAACAACAGAAAACAAAGGAACTTCTTGACGATAAAGGATCCAAGATTAAAGCATGAAGCTGCAGGAAAGGATGAAGAACAGTATAAGGGTAATTATTGGACTAAATCTTTAAATGTACAAAACTGTAACAACATGTCTTGAGGAGTTTAATGCAAGGAAGTGAAACCTATGACAATAGCACAAAGGGCAGGGGAAATGTGGTTAACGTGGTCAGGCTCAGAGGCTCAGCCTGTAAGCCCAGCACTTTGGGAGGCCAAAGTAAGTGGATTTCCTGAGCCCATGGGTTTCAGACCAGCCTGGGCAAATTGGTGAGACCTTGACTCTACAATAAATAAAAAAATTAGCCAGGTGCAGCAGCATGTGCCTGTAGTTCCAGCTACTTGGAAGGCTGAGGCAGAAGGATCACTGGAGCCCAGCAGGTTGACGCTGGGTGGCCATGAGCATGCCACTGCATTCCAGTCTGGGTGATGGAGTAAGACTCCAACTCAAAAAAGAAATGTGAGCTTCTTACATTGTTTGGAAAATGGCAAAGACACTAATTTATGTAATTTATGGTTGACTAATTTTCAGGGTAACTAATAAAAGAATAATAAAAATAGTATAAGTAAGAAAGATACATGATGATGAGATTAAATAAAATAATAAAAAGTACTTGGATTTTTTTTTAAGGGGGAGCAGGGAAACAAAGCATCTATAGAAAATATAGGATATCTTCATGAACCTTGAGATAGACAAACTTTCTTAAACAAGCCTAAATATCAATAACCATAAGAAGATTGATAAATTGAACTTCATTAAAATCAAGATCTCTTCATTAAGAGAGACAAAAGAAAAGGCACATACTGGGAGACTATCTTTTCTATCCAGGGAGGAACCCAAAAAAACCCAGAATTTAAAAAAAACTGTGTATTTATTCTTACATATTTAAACTTCGGTCACCTTCAAAGTACCCTCCATTTGATGCAATACACCTATCAAGACACTTCTCCCACTGCTCAAAACAGTTTCTGAACCCATCAATTTTGATGCCTTTTAGTGCTTCTGTTATTTTTTGTTTCACCTCTTTCACATTGACAAACATTTCCTTTTGAGGACTTTTTTCATCTGGGGAAATTTTTAAAAAGTTGCTTGGGACCAGATTGGGTGAATAGGAAGGGTGGGGTATAGGGTTCATGTTGTTTTTGGTAAAATACTGCTGAACATTCAGCAAGGTGTGTGAGCAGGTGCTTTCTTAAATCATCCATCATGAAATGGGCAAATTCGTTGAAAGAATCTGCAAAAAAAATTCACTGAAGTCAAACGCAGCCTCTCACAAAGCTATCTGGTACACTGATGCCAATGGATTCCTAGAACACTTACCTGGTGGAGGACGTCTACAAGAAGCCTGCCCTCCAAAAATAATTCCAGGGTTTTTTGGGGGGGTTTTTTTGTGTGTTTTTTTTTGAGTTTGAGTCTCACTGTCACCCAGACTGGAGTGCAGTGGCCGGTCCCGGCCACCGCAGCCTCGACCTGTTGGGCTCCAGTGATCCTTCCACCTCAGCCTTCCAAGCACCCGGAACTACAGGCGCGCACTACCACGCCCGGCTAATTTTTTGATTTAT